GATATCTATGAATTGAAAAGTTAATGAAATAAATATGCTTGCAAGGTTATACCTGTTGATAGTAGTTTCTTGAAGTTTTAAAATGTTTTGGTAAAGAACTTGATGAGTTTTTTTTTTTTTTTTTTTGGTTTGAGAAATATTTCCTAATTAGGAAATTTGGTGATGGACGGGAAAGAGTTTTTCGAGTTTATATATTCAATTGTTTATTAAATTCAGATATTAAAAAATTTGTATATTTAAAATTTTATAACTGTATAATTATTACAAATAATAAATAAATAATTTTTAAACTTTTTTTATATAATTTCTTATTATCATATAAAAATTTTATTATTTTATTATTTTTAAAAATATTTTAAATAATAAATTTATTATAAAATAATTTAATAAATATCAAATAAAATTTTTTAATTGTATATATAATAATATTAATTAATTGTACTTATAATTTATTTAATTATTTTTTATAATATAATAAAATTTTAATTATAAAACATAATATATTTTGATAAATATATTTGTAAAAAAAATTTTTTTTATTAGTTATAAGATTAAATTATAAATTAATTAAATTGTAAATTATAATTTTTTAATTGATATTTTAAATATTTAAAATTATTATTCTATTAAAATATTAATATACAATTAAAAATTATAATTATTATTTTATAAAAATAATAATGATTTTAAATATTTAAAATATTAATTAAAAAATTATAATTTATAATTTAATTTTATAACTAATAAAAAAAATTTTTTTACAAATATTATTTTTGTTTATATAATTAATATAGCAAATAATAATATTTTTTTATAAATTTTAAATTAAACAATAAAATTTTTTTTATTTTAATTAAATTTATTATTATTTTGAAAAAACAATTAAAAATTGATTGCAAAAAATTAATTTATGCAATATATTAATTTTTTTGATATAATGATTTTTAAATATTACCATGTTATATTTATTCATTATAAAAATAATTTGTAAAATTTTTTAAAAATTTTTAATTGTATAAAATAATATTGGTTTGATTAATTGGCATAATGAGAATTGATTTCAAGATTTTAGCATTAGAGCGGTTTGGGTTAAATCAGTAAGATCCGGATTTACAGAGATTTGCATATGATAATCACGATCCGTATATAAGTTCGGAAATTGAATCCCGGATCGTTAGGATCGTTAAGAACTTTTATTATGATTATTAGTAATACAGTACATAATTGATCGTTCGAATCTATGTGCAGTATATTCAATAATAATTATTATTTTACTTAAATTAAAATCTTAGGACAAGTGAATACTTTCAAGTATTTGTTTTCGACTATCAAAAATAACCATAGATCTCGAATTAATCATTAAATTAATATAGGTTGACTTTTATTTTCTTTTACCGTCATAATTTCTTCTGCTATTGTTATTATTCTTTTCCAATTATCTCGTTCATACCTTTTTACACTTGATTTTCTTGTGAATAAAGTTTTCAAGTTCATAATCTTGATCGAAAATAAAGTACGGTATTTACTATTTTTAAATATACAGCCACACACATTGTATTGTATTACTTTTCCGATTGAAAATATCCTTTTATATGTTACAATAACCTGACAACTAGATATGCAATTTTCGCGTAACATGATCACCGATCGCTCCACAGTTTCGTAAAGACTAAAATTAAGTTTATATAATTACTATCGGAAGAGGAAGGAAGAGGTAAAAAACGAGGAGATAATAATAAGAAAATAAATGCGCGCAGGGCGGGAATATTTAAACTTTTGTACATCATCTTTAAGAAAATAAGATCTAAAAGCAGTAAGGAATCTCTAAAGTGTCTTTGTACGATAATAAGAGAAAAGGAAAATACAGTATCGGTCAGGATGTCACACCTCGATTACTGTAGATTCATTTCTTGCTACATGTTACTTGAAAATCCGATGGAAGTTAGTGACAGATTCGTTGTTTAGCCTGCGTTGGTATCACATCATATTTTCATTTGCAACAATATTGACTTTTTAAAATTGTGGGAATATATGCACATATTTATCTATCTGTATAAGTGTCCCATTCTTTGTTTTCCCTTTATGAAAGAAATACACGAGTACAGAATTGCGGAAAGTAATGGTAAAGAGAAATAAAAAATGACATACATTTCGTGACTTTCGATGTTGATGATCAAATTCAATTTTCAATATTCCATGGCATTGTAATAGTGAGCGAATTAATAAGAAAAGATCAGAATTTTCAAATTTTTTTCTCGTTGCAATGACTTGAACTTATTCAGCAGGTAATTAAAATTACAAATGTTTACGTAGTACATGCATTTGTGCAACAACGTTCATACATTCATTTAAAAACGAACCTAATTTAGAATATTTGTACCGTACTGTGCTCAATTAAACATAAAGTGTTCTTTATTTCTGGCGTACGACTCTCCATTATTTAATAGAATTTCAACATTTTATTATATAATGGAGAGAGAACGAGAGGCATCCCATTAATGCGTGCGCATATATAACCATCAAAGCGGTCTTGAAAATTTTCACAAAAACAGTGTACATACACAATACTGTTTTTTAAATTTTTTAAAAATCATCTCGAGGCTTTATAATTCTTCCCACTGAGAACTATACAATAGAGAATTTCTCGAGGGAATAACGATGTATAAAATTAATTTAAGTTTACTCTGGTTTTTTATTACCATAATTGGATTCATTTCGAAACAAATTATTGCCCTCGATTGTCGTGACTACACTGATCCACTTTCTTACAAATCCACAAAAGTTAAATGCGATATTGTCAAAAACGAAGACTATGACAAAATCACAGCAAACTCGACCGAGTTTTTGTCCCCCAGCGAAGCATTCGTTATTGACTTTACATGTGGCTCTAGTGACACAACCCTGTGCGAAAAAGCAAAGAATGCGTTTATTTCGGCTGGTCAGAGAATTGCATCGGTTATTCGATTTAATACGCCTATAAGAGTGAATGCATCCTTTGCTGCGTTATCAGCTAATACTCTTGGTAAGTACAAGAAGTAGACTGATCGAGCTTTTCTACGAAATCCTTAGATTAATCCCTTTTATATTAACTATTCTTAAAGGATCAGCGAAGCCCGCTCGAACAATTCCATTACAAGACCAAGACGGAATAATCAGACTTTACCCTCAAGCTCTTGTAAAACAGATGCAATTTCCTTCGCATCCGGAATTTAGTACATATGATATCACAGCATTATTCAGCTCCACGGCTGACGTATTTTTTAAAGAAGATGTAACAATACAAACGAATCAATACGATTTTGAATATATTGTCACTCATGAATACATTCACGGTCTAGGATTCATCTCTTACTGGAGAGAGTAAGTCATTTGATATTTCGCTTCTACCTTTTTCCTTTGTAGTTAAACGAAATTTAAAATTCATTCATTTTCCTCTTTTATCCAGGTGGTTCGTTCCCGACTTTCCAGACCTAACTCCATATCCCGAGTTTTTAGTAGATAACACAGATCCAAGTAAACCGATAACTTATACTGGTTTCACCGAAACGGCCTTTGATAGATACATGGTGTTGAATACCACAGATAAAATAAAGATGACAACTCTAGCACAACAAATAAACAAATTTGCACCGATAGGAAAGAAATTTCCATCATTGATTTCATTTGAAGAATCATTCCTTGATTCTAGGCAATCATATATTGCGGAAAATCTATCGTATGCGGCTATAAATCCATACTCTATGGATTTTGTGACAAATGATTCTACTCCAGTTATTCTTGAAACAAAAATAATTCCCTTTAATCCTGGTTCGAGTGTTACTCATGTGGACACCCTGTACATGAACACCTCTGATTTTCTGATGGTATATGTAGCTCAACCCGGTATCACTTTAGATGACATTATTATAAAAAATGGAAACGCATCTGGTGGAGCAATAGGCCCTTATCTCACCAAAGTTTTAGAAACATTAGGGTGAGTATGATGATTTCGTTATTTAACCATATTTTGTTTAATCAACTCTAATGCTCAAATTTTTTGCCCGTGATATAGATATACCACTGCAAATAATCTGTCACCATATAGGCCCACCTTACCAAAGTCTGGCTCTAATAACATTTCTCCTTCTTTAAGCATGGCAATTAGTTTAATTATCACTATTACTTTGTCGCAATATTTTAATATATTTTAATTCATTCATCTAATTCATTTATTTAATAATCAATATAATGAACGGAAAATTTCGAAAAAAAAAAAAATAAATAAATATCGATAAGCTGGCTTGAATATTATTTTTTTTATTCGATTCAGATAAATTCTTACGGTACAAAAATCCCCAAAACATGTAAATTTGAATCATCAATTAATCACGTAACATTCATCACTACATTCAACTTTTAATAAAGTACTACAAAATGGTGTTATTAAAAAAAAAAAGAATACATGTTATAATTTAATTATAAAACATTTTATGACGGTAAAAGTATTGTGGATATTTTATTTTATTTTTTTATTTATTGAAAATGAAAAAGGATTGATCTTAACTAAATCATTTTCAAAAACATTGTATTTTTTATAAATTTAACTAAATTATTTAAATAAAAAATAATGTACCGTATTTTACATATAACATCAATGTATTATCTGATATACAATATATATTTTTCATAATTATTATTGTTTTCTTAAAAGTTACGAAAATACAAATCCATAATAAATAATTTATAAAAAACAAAATTTGTTATATGTTATTTTAAAAAAATATGAACAATTATAAATTATAAAATCACATAATACTGTATATTACAAAATCAAATAATAACATTAAAATAAAAATACATACAAATAAAACAATTGCTATGGCAATTTAAAACATTTAATAATAATAAGAATTTAATAATTTATTTAATAATTTTAGCAAATTATTACAAGACAATAATAATAATAACATGAAATATAATATAGTTAAGGTTTTGTCAAAATAAAATATAAAATATAATTATATATAAATTTTGATTTTTTTTTCAAAATAAAAAATAAATAAATAAATAATTGTATTTATTTTTAAAATTAAATATAGAAAATATTTTATAATTTTTATTAATATAATAAAATTATTGTTATATTATTAATGCTAATATATTAAAATAAATTGTTATATATAAATATTGATATATTATATATTAAATTTATAAAAAATTTTAACAAAAAAAATAATTATTTAATTTTAAAAACAAATATTTTTTTTAATTATTTATTATTTCTAAAAAATTGTAAATAAAATTTTTTTAAAAAAACAATAAATTATTTAATTTAATTAAATTATTAATAATCATTTAGAAAAATTTATATTATTGTTATTATTGTTTTTCATATATTTGATATTTACAAATATTTAATACTTTTTTAAAAAATTATTTTTTAATTTTTAAATATTCAAGTATATAAACATTATGGTTTAAATATTTTGTTTTTAAATTTTTATAATTAATTATTGTAAAGTTGAAAAATAGTGAGTTAGTTACTTCACTAGTTCAAAGTTAATGTTATTAAAAATAAATTGAAACATGTAAGATTGATTTAACTAAGATCTTCTCTTATTAACAAGTTTTTTTTTTCTTTTTTGATATTAGTTCTTCATTTGATAATCCTGAGTTGCATTTTATATTAGTGATATCTTTTCCTAATGGTGCATACTTGAAAAGATAAGTTGTTAATTAAAATATTCTTTTTTAGATGTTTCAATTTTGCTAATCATTTCTTTTATTATTATTATTGTTATTGTTCTCTCTCTTTTGTTTATATATTGAAATTACTATTTATATTGTTTATAAAAAGAATAAGAAAAAAACAATTAAAGGCAAATAAACTATTAGGATTAAAATAAACTATTAGATAAGTTATCTAAGCTGCCATGACTATATTTTTTATATTGATTATTAATGCTATTCCACAATTTTTAGAGTATGTACTACAGTGATCATGATATGCAACTATATCATATGACTTTTTCTAGACTAATATTATAATCAAAACTTTATTATTTTTGTAATTTATTAATAATTTTTGTTTATAAAAATTATATAAGATAAAAAAAATTATTTTCTAATTATATTTGTTAAGTTAAAAAATTCTTTTTATAATAATTTTTGTTAAAAAAAAATAGTTTTTTTTTTTTATTGCAAATAAACTTTAACTTAGAAACTTAAAAATATTTAAACAACTGATGCAGTAGAATAAGACCTATAGCCAAAGTTTATTCAAGTTTGAAAATCTTGTTTATATTTTGATTATATGAAAAAAGGTTTATAACTGTTCTTTTTTTTTGTTGTCTTGTACTTTTTCTTTTTTTTTTTATATTATAAAAACTATTTATATTAATATTATTATATTTACTAAATTAAATATTTTTTCAAAAATAAAAAAAAAAACTCTTTCCCACTTCCCTTTCTATGCTTGAAAATTTCCTTTTTAGAAAATTTTTGAGTTGTTTACTTTTTCTTCGTCTTCCCCTTTCCCTTCTCTTTATGCCCCCTCTCTATATATCTTTATTTCCCTTCTCCTATTTTCTCCCTTCTCTTCTATATACTTTCTTTTTTACTTTTACCCCTCTCTTCCTCTTTCCCCTTTTCTTCCTGCCAAAGTTAGGTTTTTCCCTTTTCCCTGAAGGTTTTTCTTCCTAAGCCTCTCTCTCTTTTGAAAACTCCATCTCCATAACATCACTTCTCTAGCCAGTTGATTTTCTTTTCTTAAGGACCATATCAAGAAGTGGTAATCTTTCTTAGAATGTGGGCTTTAGAAATTTTTCTCTCTTCCATGGTTCCTCAAAAAAAGAACAGATGGCTTACTCCCTCCAAAAGATCAACATGGTCATCATTACCAAACCTGATGTTGTTTACCGATCAGCGGTTAGACTAGATATGCTCAAGAAACCTCTATACAACTATTATTATTCGAAAGTACCCAAGGAGTTGCGCCCCATAGTATCCAGAGCGAAATGGCAGCCAATACCAATGCAACTAGCAATAAGCTAGGTTAGTTGCAGGTGTCATGCTGGTGATTGGGGAACTTAGTAGGGTAATATGTGACGACCAGGGATTCTAGTTACCCCCGCAACACGAGCTGGTGATGACAACGGAAGTTTCTCGCTCACCCCTCCGACAATGTAGGTCTATTGTACAAGGTTAGGTTCCGGCGCCATTAAGAA